TAATAATCCATCAATAATTATTATATTGTCAATGAATTATAATTTTATAGGATTCGTAAAGAAAAAATTGAGCCACCTTGTAGACACTATATTCCCCTGGTATCATAGAAAAATCTCAAATATAATAATTATGTAAAAAGAGATCGAATCATTTTTTCAAATGAAATTCTGTAAATAATTACTGAAAATTGTGTTGACGAGAGTTTTGATTTGTAAAAATTGTGTTTTATAAAAAAGAAACACACATTCGAAGATTTATAAAATAAAAAAGAAAAAAAAGAAATACAAAAAACACGCGAGAGGAAAAACAACAATTTGACAGCAGAACGAATAATGCATTGAATAAAAAAAAAAAAAAAGAAATCAATCGTTCGAGATTTTATCTCGTAGCTTGTGATCAGAAAAAATACTGTCTTCGAGATTGAGACACGAACGGAGGAAACTTTTTACGATGAACAACTGCAAATCGGATTTAAAGTTAACGTTGGTATTTCCTTGTTGTTTTTTTGTTGTTGTTCTTACCTTTATTGAAACTTTATCTATTTATCTATCCGTATTTATCCATCCAATTTTCTTGTAAGTTACATACACATGCTGGATAATGAATGATTTTTAATTCCCTCATTATAATAAATAATTCAATTCAGTCTTTATTATTATTATTATTATTAGCGAGTTTAAACGCAGTATTATATAGAAACAAACAATAATTAAACGATATATCTGCCTCGATGATAAATAATATTGTATAAAAGTTGGAACAACAAAAAAATAAGGTAGCCTAATAATAAAACCATAAAAGTGCCATAAGACCGTGATAATATCGTTGTGTGCGTTATCACACTTATTACCAATCAATTACTTACCGAATCGTTCGAAAACAATGTTAAATATTTTGACATGTTAAATATATGAAATTAAATTTAAGGTATAGTCGAGTAAATAAAAAATGTTCAAAATCCCGTAATAATGAGGTAAAGTATCTCCGTGGAAATTCTATTGCACGAACACACCGAAGTAATAATACCCTATAAAGATTTAAGGGCTTACATGAATTCATTTTTCTTTCTTTTATTCTCTTTTTCTCTTTCTCTTTCTCTACATTTTTAATCAAAAATTTCTTCTTTTTCTTTTCACCTTATCTTAGATTTTTCCGATATTATATAATTTGAAGAACATTTAATAAAATATGTTGATTAAAACAATCGTTAGAAAAATGTGTTATTAAATATTTTAACAATATACTTCCACTACGATCCACGAAAAATTCTGTACTTTTGTGAACACTTTTGATGATGATAATAAGCTTTAGTAAAAGAGAACATACTATCATAAACAGATTTATGATTGGATACACTAACTACATTCAAAGCTACATATATTTGATGGAAATCCAAAAGAAAATGATGAAATATGCAATGAAAAAATTAACGTCAAGCACATACTAATAGATTGCACCAAATACATCAATGAAAAAATAAGATACAGAATTCTAGAAGACTTGAAAATTGCTCTTTCACTCAGGAAACATCAAATTAACATTATTAATCATTTTTTAAAGACAATCAATATATCTTGAAATATATATATATATATATATATATATATATATATATATATGTATCGTTACATATCACTAATGATCTTGCTATTGATGCTACTATAAACTGGTAATAAAAAATATACTTAATAATCTTACTTACTTGTACTATCATATTTCATATTTTCTCTCAGAATAAAAATATCCCTTATAAAAGACGAATATTATTATTTCTTTTTTTTTTTTTCTTTTTCACGGAAGTACAAAATGTGTTGCTTAAACGAATGTTACTTTTATACTAAACGTTTAAATATAAATTTGCATTAAAACTATCGACCTATTACCCCCCTCCCTCTCCCCCTCCCCCCACTCTGCTCATTGAATATTTTAAATATTTTATTGAATTCCATACGATCGGATATTATTTTATTTTAATTTCCCATGTTGAAGAAAGAGAAAGTTTTCACGATGTTCGAAGATACGAATTTAAACGAAGATGAATGATACATACATATACATATACATATATATATATATTATTTCATTTTTATTTTATTATATTTTTTGTTATTTTTTATATATTATATAATCTTTTATATATTTTTATATATTTAACGAATATATTGGGGGGGGATACTTTTCTCGATTTTAATTAAAGTTAAAATATATATATATATATATATACACATAAAAAAAAAAGTATATAAGATGCTATCTTTAAAATATATCAAACTAGCTTGTAATATGGAGCTTTCTGCCAAGGCCAACTACGCAACAAGACCTACTTTATAAGACTTCTTTCGACAGACAGGTATAGTTGAATCGATTCAATTTATCATCGAGCAACTTTTTCTTTCCCACTCTTTCACTCATTCTTATGAATTTTGTTATATTGCTTAAAAAATGAATTCATTTATTTCGTTAAGATATATATATATTGATATTAATAAATATTTCAATAAAATACGAAAAAAAAAAAAAGAGGAGCAAACGATAAAACGATTACATATTTCTATAAGGACACACGTTATACGAACATTTGTATACGTACAAATGAAAATACCTGTTATATAAAAGAATATTAATCGAAACGAAAATGCGGATACATAATTTCCGGCAAGGGAGGAAATTATATTTACGTTCGATAATAATGCCTTTTAACGAAGATCGTTAATAATGCTAGTTTCTTCCTAGGATATTAGCTAGACTATTTCTAAATACACATATTATACATATTATAAATACATATATAAACATGTGTATACATATATATTATTATAGATTCATATATTATATTACAAAATGTTTACTTTATAATAGAACAAAATATTTGAAATATTTGATAAATGATATTTAAATTATAAAGTTATCGATTAATTTTACAACAAAAAATAAACAACAATTAAACAAAATCCCATCAACGAAATAAATCTTGTTTATATCAATTACCAAAAGTTAAACTTGCGTTTCAAAGCCCGAACAAGGTGAGTTGTGTATCGTAAAGATGGAAGGGTAGTGGTGGTGGTGGGAATGTTGGGTACATCGGAGTAGGAAGAGAAAGAGGATAAGGGGGTGGGAGTGAGGAGTGAGAATAAGGGTAAGGGTAAGGGTAAGGGTAAGGGTAAGAGAGAGACAGAGAATAAGAGGAGAGCTTTCGCTGGAGCTTTCACGATTGTGAGTTTACGGTGGTGGTGTCAGTCGTGCGGTGCTTCTCGACGGTGTTACGCAAGTTTTCAATGTAAAATAAAGAAAGAAAGAAAAAAAATAACAATAATAATATAACAAAATAGAAAACTTTTGTGACGTGTTATAAAATTTTAATTTTAACGGCGTGAATGAGATCAAACTTATTTGATAATTAGATAAATAGATAAATCGAAATATAAATCTCATAATAAATCAAATCAAATCAACGTTTAATATTTGAACGGAATAAATTATTTCTTGTTGTATTTTTTTTGTTTTGTTTATTATTATTATTTATTATATTTGTTGCGATAATGAAATCACGAACTCGCGATTGAAAATTATTATTATTATTATTATTAAAAACAAAAGAAGAAGAAGAAGAATCAAAAGGGGGGTTGATAGTTTTGTAATCAGTGAACACCATGGTGGATAAATTGCACGATTACGAAGGCTTTGCCGGTAGAATTCACAATGTTCGGGATAAAGTCAAAGAGAGATGGGATATTTTTAAAGAATGGAAAAACAGTGTACCATTGGATCAAGGATTACCAGGTGTTTTGAATCATCTTCGTGGTCCTCCCAAATTGGAAAGAACTTTGGATGATTATGCTCATATTTACAGGTACTTATGATGAAATATATCGTGTATCCTTCGGTTATATTTTTAAAGAAAATATAAAAAAAATAAAATAAAATATCCATAGAAAAAAAACACGACGAGAATTGATAAGGGTATCGGCGGCCGTCATGGGAATTGAATTTTCCTACGCAGCTGAGACCGCATTCGTTTCGCCAACTTTATTAAAAATCGGTGTGGATCATCAACACATGACCTTGGTTTGGGCTTTGAGCCCTCTCGTCGGTTTCTTCGTAACCCCAATCTTGGGTAGCGTAAGCGATCGTTGCAGATTAAAATACGGGAGAAGACGACCGTTCATACTTTTGTTAGCAATCGGAGTTTTAATAGGTGAATTATCAATTAATTATGTAAAATTTAATTTAATTAAATTCACCAAAAAAAAAAGAAAAAAACAATCGATTCAACTTCCGAGAGATTTAACATTAGATTTACGGATTGAGTTAATTTGACTCGTTAAAAATTTAATTATTATATATATATAAAACTTAAATATTATTTTTTTAAAATATATGTTGGTTTTTAATTACTTAATGAAATATACGTAAATATATTAATTCCTCCCCCCTTCTATTCAACTCTTCATTCAAACAATCTTTGTAAATTATTAAAAAAAAAGTAATGAACATAACATCCGTAAATTTAATGTTAAATAATCGAATTAATTGAAAAAATGATTATCTCATTTCGTTTCACCTGTCAGGATTAATTTTGGTGCCTAACGGCGAGGACATGGGATATGCGTTCGGTGACATTCCATCATGGAACAATCAAACGATCCCATTAGGTCATAGAACTACGGCTAAATTATCTAAGGATGATGATGATAATCCATTGACGATTAAACCATCCTCCCATTCATGGGGTATATTTTTTACGATTTTGGGCACGGTTTTACTTGATTTCGACGCTGATGCTTGTCAAAGCCCAGCCAGAGCTTATCTTCTTGACGTTACTATACCTGGTAAGATAATCTAACACACACACACACACATTAGGGGGGATAGATTAATAATTATTATTTATTACACGCGTTATATATAAAGATAAATTATTAATTATTTAAATATGTATATGTGAAAAATAGAGGACCATGCCAAAGGATTAAGTACGTTCACCATAATGGCAGGACTTGGTGGTTTTATGGGATACGGATTAGGTGGTATCAATTGGGATGCTACTGCAATTGGTGTTATGTTAGGTGGACACCTTCACGCTACTTTCACATTGATCACTATTATTTTTATAATATGCGTTGCTTGTACTATCACGAGTTTCAAAGAGATTCCATTGGAAGTACTCGAAAGGGATCAATATCAACAAATTCAGGAAGAAAAGGTTAATTGTTAATATCTTTTTAAAAGTTAATATCTTGTTAAATTCTATTTTTTCTTGTTTTTTTTTTTTTAGATCGAAGAATCCAAGAGAAACGAGTACGATAAAATAACTAACGAAGAATGTACTTCTTACGGAGCTGTTGATAACGAACAAGACATTAACGTGAACAAAAATGATGTGAGTGATTTATTGAGAATTATTATTTGGAAAATAATTTGTGATCGTAGTATTATATTATTTTATAGGAATTCGTTTTAAAACCACTCCCGGTACAAGAATCGATCAAAAGACCTGGTGAAGCACCGATGATACCTGATATACCCACCACCACCACCACCACCACCACCACCATCACCAACAACATTCAAGACCCTAATCATATAACATACGATATGAATGGTGTTCAATCTGATCCTAAAGTTTCATTGAGAGAATATCTTCTTTCTATTGTTTATATGCCTTATAGTCTTCGAATGGTTTGTTTGACCAATCTTTTCTGTTGGATGTCACACGTATGCTACTCTTTATATTTCACCGATTTCGTTGGCGAAGCTGTTTACGGTGGTAATCCTCAGGTTAAGAATTTCATTGTCATTTTTTAATTTATTCGTTAATTCGATTTCTTACGAATCGGGAAGAAAACAAATTTTGTGATTGAATAATATTATATTTAAAAAGAACAACGAAAAATTTGTGATTAAAATATATAGAATTTGTTTATCATAATATAATATATATCTTATGAGAAATATTTGTTATATTTAAATCAATGATTTTTATTTGTAGGCTCCCGATGGCACGAAAGAACGAGAATTATACGAAAGTGGTGTTCGTTTTGGATGTTGGGGAATGTCAATGTATTCTTTATCTTGTTCATGTTATTCGTTGATCATTGAAAAATTAATAAAACGTTACAAGTTAGTTAAACAATTTCATTTAAAACAAAAATAAAGTCCCTCGAGAGAACAATTGATAATATTGATTTGTTATTTTTCAGAGCTCGCAAAGTATACATTTGTGGACTATTGTTTTACAGTATAGGAATGATGTTAATGGCTATAGTAAAACATCCAGCTGGTGTGATAATATTTTCTTGGACAGCTGGTGTCATGTATTCCACATTATTTACAATGCCTTATTTGTTAGTTGCACATTATCATGCTTCCTCGACGGTGAGTAAAACAAATATTATATTATTTCTGTTTATCTTTATATAGAAAAATAATAAATAAATAATCCAAAATAAAATATTGAATTTTCGTAGTTCGAAGTTACGTTCGAAGGAGAAGCTATACAAAGTGGTACCGTTCGTGGTCTTGGTACTGACATAGCAATTGTTTCTTCCATGGTCTTCTTAGCACAGTTTCTTCTTTCTTGTTGTCTTGGAACTATAGTTAGTGTATCTGGTACAACAACAGCTGTTGTATGCGTTGCAAGCACTTTAGCAGCTTGTGGTGCCATTTCAGCTACTCAAATAATGTACCTGGATCTTTAAAAATAAAATCAAATATGATAACGACAAAATAAAAAATAAACAATAAAAAAGAAAAGAGACGCAATAAAGCGAACTATCAAATCCAAAGGACCAACAAATAAAAAATTAAATATATATATATATATACTTCATGATCAAAAATGTTTCGTTAACATATTCGCAATAACGTCGCTTAATTTGTATAATATTTGTCGCGTACTGTACATTACTATAGCACAAAACGATTTTAAAATGATCTTGAAACATAGAGAAGTATTTTCAAATTTCAATTGAAGTAATTGTTAAATCGTAAAACATACTATATATGCTATAGGATAGTTAATCAGATGCTGCTTTTACGAGAAAGAGAGAAAGAAAAAAAGAGAAAGAGAGAGAGAGAAACGCGAAACGAACTTTTAGAGTTATTGAAATATTTATATTTTTAAGAGATCTTATAATATGAATAATTAAAAATATATCTCTTCTCGTAAATCGATGGGTTTATTACTTCGTATTGCAAATTTGTAATGCAGCACGAACCTTCGACGTCAGGGTCTCGCTTAATTTCTCTATTTGTCGTTGAACGTACGAATTGTCGTCTAATAAACCCTTGTATATATAAATAAATATTATAAATAAGTTAATGTAAAAAAAAAATTTATTTGAAAAAAAGAAAAAAAAAAAAAAGAGAAGAAAAGAAAAGAAATAGACGAAAAATTGAAACTCAATAAAAATTGTCTGGATATACTTGAACGATCTCGTATTCTTTGTTATTGCAAAATACTGGAAAGGAAAAAAATATTCCTTCGTTAACGCCATAAGAATTGTCAGAGTATACACCCATACAAGTCCAATCATTGTTTTCCGTTCCATGCCACAATATTTTGCAGTGTTCGGCAAGTGCATACGCAAGGGATCTGCTGTACAAAGATCTATTCGACGTATTTTGCAGTATCTAATTTACGAAGAAGAAATGTTTCATCACACGTTGACAAATATTTTCTAACGCATCTATTATCTCTATCGTCACGATTAAGTGAATTATATTAATTAATATACGATTTTTTTAACATACCAGTGGCAAATCGATTTTTAACCATACGTGTAAACAATCATTAATAATTATATCATTATTAAAATATACGTATCTGCAATCGGGAAAGGTAAGTTTATTATTGGTACCCCATATGATAATATTTTTAATTTGATCGACACGACAACCAGTTCGTGCTGCTATCTACAAATGAAACTTTTATTGTGTGTGATATAATAAGAAAAATAATGAATCATAACTATATTAGTACAGTTATAAAATAATAAAGTAAAGCTAACATGAGCAGCGCAGATTTTCATGTTAAAGTTGGACAAAGAGGTGACATTTTTTTTAGGAATAGATTTAGCGTAATGCGAAATAATAGTTGCAGATATGTTTCCTAGAACAATTACTTTGACGTCTTTCTTAGCATACCTTTCTATGATTTCACCCTAAAATAAATGTCATATTTATAAGATAAAATTTATATTACAATATCGAATATAAATTAATCGGTACGTGAAATTTCGAAGCTAAAGAACACTCTTCGAAAAATGTATCCTCGTTTTCTTCGTCCAGGAATTCATATCCTCTCGCTAATCCGATACAAAATACAATATCAGCGTTTTTAAAAGCTACAGATGGTTCGTGCGTACAAATAATTCCTATGTATATCGAAGATAAAAAAAAAAGAAAAAAAGTAAAAACATTTAGAAAAATATATATATATATATATGAAATTAAAGTAAAAAAATTGGTCAAAATGCAAACTACCGTCTAACTGATCCGAACTAAATTCCGTAAGTTCTATTACAACGCTTTCTAAAAATAATGCTTTCTCAAAGATTTCATAAGCAATTAAATAAATCAATTGATTATCACCAAATATTTTGTTAGAAAGAATACGATACATGAGAGTGAGTGCGATTTCTGTGCTTGCTTCGGTAACCACAACTCGTAAAACATTACGATCATTAGATGAAGAAGAATGATAGAAGACAATATTTTCATCATCCACGTCGTTGGTTACAAAATCCATGACATTTATATCTCTGTCTGAAGTAATTTGAATATATATATGTGCATTGAATCTTAGTGACGTTTGACAAGAACAAAAAAAAATAGTAACAACGAGATTATATCTTTGACGTTATTGCACCATTCTTCAGACCTATCATACGTAACAAAAACAAAAAAATGAAAAAAAAAAAAAGAAAAGCCAAGCAAAATAAATAACTTTTATTTGTTTCATCGCGTAATTGAATTTATTCGCCAATTATGTGCGAAGATTATTAATAGCCTTTTCCAAAACGTCTTTTCTAATACGAGGATAATCAGGATTTTGTCTTAATACTTCGTTGCAAGCTTCTATAGCATCAGCATAAGATTTTCCTTTCAAACAACAATAAGCTAATTTGTAACCAATCGATAATTTAGATTTACCACCGAATTTCCATGCTTGAGCATATCGCACCGAAGCCTCCCGATAATTTTGATCTTTTTCAGCAATATAACCGGACAATTCGTGTGCTCTGACGCATGTAGCATTGTGTTGCAAAACGCGTTTAAGCAGTTCGTTCGCTAAATCGTATTTGCTCGATTGAACATAAATATCTGCCAAGAGTAACCAACATCTCTCCAAATATTCGGCATCCTCGAAAGTCCAAACGTTTTTGCTAACACGTTTGAGATGATTTCGGGCGCGTGGGGTTTGTTTTAATAAAATGTGTGCCATCGCCATGCCCAAGGCTGGTCCAACGTGATCTCTGAGTGTTTCTTGACTAGCTAGATTCGTACAATCCTGTAAAGCTTTCTCGATGTTTGATTTTTGTTTAGTAGCAAGAAGAAAGAAGTTACCGAGAAGCCTATGCGTCAACATCTCATGCTGACTTCCTCTCGGATTTAATTCCTAATAAAACGAATTTTAAAAATATTGATTTCTATTTTTTTTTTAATTATTTTCTTATAATATCTACCTGTAATAAACGATAAGCAGTTTTCAAGGCCATTGTCCTTGAATCTTGATATTCCATATCTTCGTCATTGAAAGCTTCATTGGACAACGAAGAATCGTCGTCAGGATCTAAGCAAATTTCTATCATATTATAAATAGCTTGTTGACCCCATTCAGGATCACGTCTCGCATAATTAAAATTTCTAAGAGCCGAATTTAATCTTCCCATTCTCCAATCTAATAAGCCAGTGCAGTAATAAAAACCTGCCTCCACATTGTTAGATCCCATTGCTGTTTGCGCTAGATCAAGCCATTCACTTAAATCATCTATACTTCCTATATAAGAAATATATTTTTAAACAAATATATTTAATATATTATTTAATTAAATTCAATAATTATAAGGAATAATAATATAACACCTGTCCTGCGAGAAACTTCTATCAATCTAGCTAATGCCGTCCAATACATTGGTTTTTGTAATAATAATTGCCGAAAATGAAATGCTGCAGTTTCAAAATCAACTTTTCTAAATGCAAGATCGGCCATCATAACAGATGCAGCCTCGTTATTTGGATCAGCTTTTAAAAGAGTAGTACATGTTTGAGCACATCTGTCCAAATTATTTATCTAAAAATTATAATACTCCTTATTGTCAAATTAACATTTTTTTTTTATAAATTCAATAGATATATATATCTCTCTCTCTCTCTTCTTTCTTAATGGGTATTTATAAAATTATTAAAAAATATAATAACCTGCATGTATAACTTTGCTAATGATAGCAAAGCTTTAATATCAGCTGGTTTATGATTTAAAGCTTCCTTATAATGTAATATTGCTTGATCATAATCTCTTATAGCAGATGCATGGTCTGCCATTGTCATGCATATGTTCGCTATTACATATTTTTGTTCTACTGTACTCGAAACCATAGTAAGGCGTTGTATATACCTTGTTTGACTTTCCTTAGCTTCTTTTAACACCGAGAGTGCTGCTTGTATGTTGCCAGCTTTTTCACGGACTTTCGCGAGTAAGAGTAATTGCTGTCCTCGACTTTCTAAATTTTCCAAATCTGATTCAAATCGAGCACCTGAAGAGTTATTATTACTATTATTATTATATTACCTGAAAAATTATTATTACTATTATTTCCTTATTACATTAGTCATAAAAAATATACTTAATTCTCAATTCTTCCACCAAAGTAGCTTCAGCTTTGTCGTATTGTTTCATTTTAATAAACAATCTTGCAAGATCTAATTTTAAATCCTTACATTCAGCTTGTTTTATAATGTCTTTATAATAATTAACAGCCTTCATATACTGATGAGTTTTTATCAATGCCTTTCCCATTTTATTTGCTATAATTGCCTTATCTTTTGGATCTTGATTTAAAGCTTGTTCATAGGCTTCTATGGCTCTTTCTGGTTCTTGTATAGAAATATACGCATCGCCAAGCATACCATACGTCTTAGGACCAGGACAGTGTTCTACTAATTCTCTAAAACAGGTCGATATATATACTGATATAGAAAAAATTATATTCTATAAAAAAAAATTAGAATATTATTAAAGTAAAATAAAAGCATACCTAAAACATTTAGCGAATGCTTGCCTATCTTTTTTATATTTTAAATGTATTTGAGCCAATTTCGTATGAGCTTGTACATAATAAGGTTCATCTGGTTTTACTTTTGCTAAATGTTCTATTGCTTTTTCCAATTCTCCCATTTCCAAATACAAGTCTGCATATCCTATTGTGGATTTGCTTTCCTCTGCAGTACCTTGAAGTTCTATTATCGCATCTTCCATCAATGCTAAAGCTTCGCTGAATTGTTTCATTTTACTATACGCAGAGATTAATTCAAGATACAACATCGCTTTCTCTTGTATAGAAATTTTCTTAATTTCCGTTATATTTTTATTTTGTTTTAAACCCGCACACAACATAGCTAATTCAAAACTTTGTATACAACTTTCAAGATCTCCATTCTCTTTTTGTATAATACCATTGACCATGTGATAAATTGGATCATCTCTGATCTTAAAATTGTAACTCAAACCAACTTCAAGACTTTGTAAAGCTAATTGGTAATTATCTTGATATGCCAAAATCTGTGCCATTAATAAATGTCCCTGCGCATTTGTAGAATCGATAGTATCCAAAAGTTTTGTTAATATTGTTTGAGCTTCTTCCAACTTTCCGCTTTGCATTTTAATCTTACTTAATATTAACAATACGTTGCTTAAACCAGGGCATGATTCAGCAACTTTTTCTAATAAATCTAAAAGTGGTTCTTTTTCTGTTTCATAGCTTCCTTTACTCATGGACGATGTATCATAAACAGAATAAGTTAAACGTTGTTTTCCAATTTCCACACATAAATCAGGATTTAAATTTGTTAAGTATTCGTATCCATAAGGAACGTACTCGCAATCCTTTAATAAAACTTTTGCTGCCATGTTTAAATACTGAAGTCCTTTTTTTTGATCATCATCACAAATTATCGATGACATAAACAATAATTTAGCACTTACAGAGCTTGACTGAATCTCCATTAAAAAATCAATTTGTTGTCTGGCCAAAACTCGAGCATTTGCAGAATTATCTAACAACTGACAATGCGCCAAACCTATCAGAGCTGGGAAAGATGATTCCTCTATACGTACATTATTCCTATACCAATGTTCAGCTTCTTTTATTTTTCCCAATAAAACATACAGATTGCCAAGTTCGACCATTAATTCTCCACAATTGGAATTCTGTTGTAACATTTTATCAGTTACTTTGCATAATTCCATTAATATATTTTCATTTCCACACACTATGCATGAAAATAATTGTATGTTTTTGATCAAAAGATCAATATTTTTTCCTTCAACAAGAATTAAACTTCTCAAAAATAATTGCAAATGTTTTAAACTTTCGCCGTATTCTCCATCTTTACAAAGTGCAACGACGCAATGAGCTTTTATCGCATCTAAATTATTAGGATCTATCGTTAATATTCTATTAGCAGTTTCGAGTACTTGTTCCCAATCTTTCATAGCTAATTGATTAAATAATTTTTCTACCAGTGGAAAGCTTAATTTGGGATAATGCACTATTAATGAATTCAATATCGATATTGCACCTGTATAATCTCTGCAGTGTTGTTTATATCTTGCTGTACCTATGAGAGCGTTAAAATGTTTACTATGTGTTTTTAAAACTGTGTCGAAATAATCTATCTTCGTATGATTATCATCATTTGGTATGTACAATTCTACCCAACCCTTTGCCAATAGGACATTTACATCAACAGAATTAACTTTATATGCTCTGTCAGCATAATCTTTAGCTTTATCAATCTTTTTGTACAATAGTAATACCAAAGCAGATAATGATAACGCAGTGGCTGATGCTTTTCTTCTTTCATCTCTGATTTTTATATCGATTTGCATTATAGTCGATTTGTCTGTATTTGCATTTACTTTATGCGCCAAACTCTGTATAAGCAAACTTGGCAATAAGACTTCTGAATTGTTAATTAAATTGTTACTTTCTTTAATAGCATCGTGTATCCTTCCATTTAATAAATAGGCAAGACTAAACAGGAGTTTCAAATGATCGCTTGTTGGATAAGTATCGCATGCCTGTTTTACATGATTAAGCATTCCATTGTAATAAGACTGATAGCACAACCACTCGATCCATGTTATATATTCTTGCTCTTCCATCTTATTGATTCTAGGTCTTTAATTAATGAAACAAATTCACAATTGAATACAACTTTTAAAAGAGTTTCTTCGTATCCCTTTTCTTCTCTTATGTTCCTTTATTATATAGAAAGAAAAAACATTTGTATATCTAAAATATATCTTACGACATAATTGTTCTTAATAAATGAAAATGAAATAATACCTTTGTAAATTGATATTTTTAAATTAATCATACAATAGTTTTATTTTTGGTTTTTGATATTTAAATGAATCATAAATGGTGTATTATTACTATACTAATATAAATCATTATTCTATACATCTTCTCTATAAAATCTAACGATAAATAGTTTGATTTATATTAAGTTAAAATGAAAATACTGTAATTAATTTTATTCAAGGTTAATGTACATGCATTCGTGTGCATCGTATAAAACAGTTGCTAAGCAACGTTAAATAAAAACATTGTTATATACGTGTTTTATGTTTTTGGTTATGTTTAATTTATTCTCTCTGGAGGAACTATATTATTATGTTTTTATTTAAAATATATAATTTATATGCACTACATACTTAACAATTTTATTCAATAGAGTTTTAGTTTTGTATTAAAATTTATTTGAATTTCTAAGCCCGGGTAAATGAGGAGAACAGTCATTGGTCAAATAATTTTTAAACCTGAATGTATATGTATGCATATGAAAATTATAATGTTTTCTCTTAAACTTCTATATTTTTATGGATATAAGTTAATGAAAAATAAATATGTATGATTTTAAGCTTTTTTTATTTCACAACTTGAAATTAAATTTAATAAATCCTATACTGAAAATATAATACTACGTTTACTTACTAGGTAAGGTAGATTTTACTTTACCAATGACACTAAACCAAATGGCTGAAATTTATAGGAATGTCAATGTTGCATTTAATATCTGATAGATTAATAAATCATATTGCTTCCAAAGTTAATAAAATAAAATAAATAAAAAATTTTTTTTTAATAATCTAAATTAAGTGACATTTTTTATATTTATATTTGTAGGAAATAATAGAATCTTCTAAACAATAACAAATGTTAATCTTGAGAAATAATTTCAACATGAAGATAAACTTATTTCTCTGCAGTATATTACTGATTCTCACTATATCAAGTGCAAATAATTCTAATGAGAATAAAAAGAAATCATGGCGTGATAAAGATATAAGAGATATGAATGACGCAGATTTGGAACATCTATTGGACCAATGGGAGGTTTGACAATTGTTTAAAATATTAAGTTTTCATTTTTAATTGCTTTGTCTTGTGAGAACAATTCATATAATAATTATATATATTATATTGTCACACATATTATTGCTACGTTGTAGGAAAATGAAGAACCTCTGCCACCGGATGAACTTCCTGAACACCTTAGACCAAGTCCAAAAATAGATTTATCAAAGGTAATCAATTAGTATCTATTATTTGTAATATCGTAACACTTTTGTTAACAACGATCATGCAAAAATGAATGTCAAATGTTTTGGAATTTATTAGATAGATGTTTCTAATCCTGATAATGTTCTCAAAATGACAAAAAAAGGTAAAGGTGTTATGATGTTTGTGGATGTAAGGGAAGATCTTTCAGAAGAACAAGCTGGTGTTATAATGCGCATTTGGCAAACTAGTTTACAAAACAATCATATCATAGCAGAAAGGTAATCTTTGCTTGTAAATAAGTATCATAACTTATATTTACAAAAGATAATTTGTATAATTATTTTAGATATTCGATTGATCCTAAACGATCAGTCTTTTTATTCCGAGAAGGATCTCAAGCTGTTGACGCTAAGAATTATTTACTAGAACAACCAGAGTTATCTCACGTTACCCTTGAAGGACAAACATATTATAGAGATAAGAGTAAAAATCAAGGAAACAAGAAAACAAATCATAAAGTAAAAAAGTCAGAATTATAAAATATTAACAAAATCATTTCAAATGAATCTATTAAAAAGTTGGATTCTTCTATTTCTTTTTTGTCTTACCAACAAAAATGCGCAAATTATTTTGAACGATATATTTTTATAACTTAAATATAATATCTATATGTTTTTTTTATAACAAAAGAAAAAAAAAAGAGATAAATTTTGTTAACAAATTATTTCTCATTGACGTATCCTATAAAATGTCATAAGGAAAAATGAATAAATAGCATATATCAATGACAATTATAAATAATTGAATCCTTTCATTATAATAGACCACTATAATTGGTTCGCGCATGAGATGCTACATAGATACAATATTTGCAATATAATTCTATGCGTATACTACTATATATAGTAACTATTATTGCAATAAGGTAAGAATCTGAAGATGACTGTGTTTGTGCAATGCGTACACTTGAATTGCAGTGTCTCGTTCAGTTGGGACTGTCACAGTAGAAAAGATACTCAATAGGAAAATACTTTTAAAAATCAACAATTTATGGAATGTAAAATCAATCATTTTATTAGATCGTATCTAACGTAATATGGAAACTATGAAAATAAATATACTGGAAGAAATTGGAAGAACATATGTGTCATAGTTATAACCATGTAATACAGATCATACTATTCTACAATCAAAATTTCTTATAAGCACAAACAGTTAATCATATTTAAATTATTTTTCATTATATAGTATAGAAAATAACAAATCTTTTTATAGAGAGCATTTTAATATATTAATAACAGTGAGACTCATATAACGGTAAAATGAGATTAATCACTTACTTAAACTAGATTTACTGATTGTAGGATCAGCTTGTGCATTATTCATAGCTTTTGCTTCTCTTTGCAACTCTTTTACTACCGTAGCAAGAGCATAAGGGTTAACCCCATTTTCGCACAGCCGTACGCAAATACTTAACGTTGCTGGATCTAAGTTTGTATTGAGTAATTTAGAAATTTGATACAATGTTTGGAACGTTTTACGAGCTGCATTTACCTGATGATTTACAGGTTCTGGCATGCTGGCTCGATTTTGTTCCTTGCTAAAAAATAATATCAATTTTAGTCTTTAAATCTAATTGAAATAATAAGTTTAATTACGATTATTATAATTATTGATATATTAGTAATACAATTTTTGTTCTACGCGTATTAAGAAAAAATAGGAAACATTATTATTACTCACTCTCCCGTGTTAGACAGTTTTGTGCATATAATATAAACACATTTATAAAATATAAATACTATTTTTGGTGAATACAAAGATTCATAAGTTTATCTTTATTGCTTCTTATCAGTATATTTTTTTTTAACGAACATAGAAATATAATTTATAAGTTAGCCATTTAGTTAGAAAGTTGTATAAACAATAGAAAGAGAGATGCTCTGATCAAAGAATATATAAAAACATAGAAGCTCACACGTCCACTTTTTGCCTAACCACATTAATCTTAGTTACTAGCCTGAAAACCAGTGGGCGAAAGTAGCTACTTAAAGCAAAGACGGAACAATACAATCAATGAAAACAGTATTCATTGATAGTATATGATAGTATACGATATATTCTTTAGTGTTTTTAATTGCTTCATTTTAAAACACATATAATTGCATTTCTGAAGGCACACACACGTTTATACACTAAAAATTAAAAATAATTATTTCAAATTCTATTACAATATAAATATACTATGTATACTATTATAAAGAATATATCATATACTATCATATACTATCAAAGAATACTGTTTTCCTTGATAGGATTAGTATTATTCATCGATAGCTGCAGCTGCAACTCGCATTATCTAATCGAAGCATTATCGATACCTTGCATTTCTCGATACCTTGCATATTTTCGATGGTAAATCTAACCTCACTCTTTAAGAGTTCGTTTGTTTACATGTGGCTTTAACAAATTATCGGATAAATAGGAAAATGACATTAGGAGAATTTGAAATGACATAGGAGAATTAGAAAATAATGTGTAGTGTTTTATTTAGTTAAAGATATATGGAAGTATTAAATAATTAAACTTACGTTACGTGATATAAGCAAAGTATAATTTAGAATAACCTACGTTCTCCAGTGTAGAAATCGTCTGTCTACGTTTATACGTTACGTTATATTCTTTATTAATTGTTGTATTTATAACAACAAGAACAACGTGTAATACGTTGTATTTATTATTAATCTTTATTACACGTGTGTACATTCTTTTAATTTAAATAAGAATAATGATGGAACAATTGCAAACAGCATTAACAGCAATTAAAGTGTTACGATCTAGTGTTGGACAAGTTTTTGATTCTCTTGCAAATGGGTTACGAGCCGATCACGGAGAAGATAATAAAGAATCCAAATATTTGTTAGAGTTGCAAGAATTATTGACAACGGTTAACGTTAATTTAAGGTTTATATTGAATTTATTTGTGAGTTAATTAATAAACAAAGTGGGGATAATTATTCATGTAATGTATACAAATTTGATAGGGATGTAGAACAAGCAGTTAGTAGTTTGAATCCACCACCTGGTCCATTTAATTTGGCTAGCACGACTTATCTTAGTCAGGAAACGACACAGGAAAGACAAGCACTTTATGGTTCTCTTGTTAATAGTTATAAATGGACAGATAAAGTTCACGAGTACAGTAATGCTGCTCAAACATTATTGAATCAGAATTCGTTAAAGAGATCTTATACGAATACAAGTAGAGCAAAAAGAGGTAGAGTTCAAACTAGTAATCACAATGTACCTCCGCAGTAAGTAAAGTCTCATTTATAATGATTACATATTTTAAATTGATCAGATTTATAGCATAAGAAAGATTATTTACATGTTGCTTAAAGACAAGTGGATTCCATGATAGCAACCTTTGATCGATTATTTAACGATATGACTGTATCTGTATCTCGACCATTTGCATCAAATGCAGTATTACACGTTACGTTAGGACACGTCTTAAAGGCAGTAATAGCTTTTAAAGGTGTAATGATTGAATGGGTTGTTGTAAAAGGTTATGGAGAAAGAATGGATTTATGGACAGAATCGAGGCATAAAGTTTTTAGAAAAGTAACAGAAAATGCTCATGCAGCTATGTTACATTTTTATTCACCTGCACTTCCTGAATTAGCTGTACGATCATTTATGGTAATATCAATATTTTTTAATAATAACAACTCATAATGTTTCTCACAGATAAAGTAAAAAATCGTGAAAGAGCATAGAAAAATGATAAATAAGTTATTAATAAGAATGTGTACAAATTTGTGGTATCTTATTTATTTTGTAGACTTGGTTTCATAGTTTAATCAATTTATTCAGTGAACCATGCAAACGTTGTGGACTACATCTACACAGTGCTTTACCTCCAACATGGAGAGATTTTCGTACTTTAGAACCATATCATCAGGAATGTAAACCATAATAATGAATGATGTCAAGGTATTTTTGGTCATTTTTATAAGAAGGAAATATTTACTATAGCATTGACTATATAGAGTAACGATATTTTAAATAATTTATAAATCTTTACTTTTTTGTATACAAATACTTCATAAAGAAGTAAAAAAAATTTGATTCACTAACCTTAGTTTTGAATATATATATATATATATATATATTAATATTAAATAAATGTCAATGTGTTTTGAAAGAAATATTATTATCTATGAATTTTTCTAGGTCCCTTGACACTATAATGTTGCATATTGAAGAAGTAATTAATTAATTCTATATTATATTGTAAAAGTTCATATATTTAAATATATTTATTAATAAAATCTGAGAATATCGTGTTGTTCCTTGTAAAATGTATATATTCTATGGGAGGTAATCGCAGTGTAAAGAGAAGAGAGGTAATATATTTCAAAACCTGGAATATTATGCTTCAAACGCTTCTTCTATCTATTATAGTGTGAATACAATAAAGGTATAAATGAAACATTTTCACAGAGAATATAAGGGCATTTATAAAAAGAACTTAATTATACAATACTTAACAAATGTGAAATTTGAAATAGTAAAAAGTAACATTGCAAAATATAAATGCATTTAATTTGCAATTTTAAGACGTCTGATCGTAATTCGATCATTATTTTGATTTAACCGAAGCCAGAAGAAAGAGCAAAATGAATAATCGTCTGTCTAGATTAAAGGAGCCTTTATCAAAAAGAAGATAAATATACTATTGACAGATTGTGGAATTGGAACTTGGCATTTTTTTAGCGGATAAACACTTACGGCTGTACTAACTTTTAAGTATAATATACAAATGAGCAGGCATAAATGTTTTTGTTTTTGAATATAATAGCTCTGCATTTTCAGTGATTTCCTTTTGTATATCCTATGTATGTATACCACTCTTAATATCATACGCTAGGTAGTTTTATATAATACTAATTAGTATCATATGTAAATATAAGTACTTTTCACATAACTGTACACATTCACATTTGGAATATTGGCACTCCGTTAAGAGTGCAAGTCGTTAAAGTGGCAGTGAACTTATTTTACAAATCGTTATTGTGATCGCTCACTTTTATGGACTCTTGCAAGTATTTCATCGTAAGGCTCTATGTACGTTGCAATATTCAATTGAGCATAAATACGCGTCGTTGACTCGAAACTATTTATGCGATCGTTCTACCTCGTCTATCGAGTTTTATCGAATTCATAATAAGTGCGTAATATATATTAAGTCGTTCGCTAAAAACGAATATCAACGAATTTAATCGTTATCACGTATAATATATCACTTTCCGATCGTCCAACTTCTTGATTATGCGAAATATTAAGTGCGCCAACGTGTTTTTTTACGTAGATTTCAAGCAATTCTTCTTATTTTTTTTTTTTCTTTTTTCTTCTTTTTTTTCTCTCTTCTTCCTCTTGTCAATAGTATGTGTGTATGTGTGTGTGTGTGTATGTGTATGTAGACTGTACTTTATTATTATTTGTATATAAGTGCAATTTTTAAGATATTTCTTATAATTTCGGTGCAATCTTAAATCAAAGTGACGGTAGAAATGTTTACGACAACGAACACTTAACGACACTTTTTCTTTTTTTTTTTTTTTTTTTTTTAATCCCTTTTTTTTATGGTTAATTTTTTTTCTGCTTTATCTTCGAACATTGTGAACACATAACGCGGAATGTTCTTTTTTGGTAAATAGATAGAATAATTAATCTCTAATGAGAGATTTGAATATGTCTGTCATGAACAAATTTAATGTGGTGTATACTTTTTTCCGATAATTTGACCAAGTGGAATCCTTGTACAAGATACAGAAACGCTTTAATTAACGTATCTCATAATGATGTATATATCTACGCGTGCAAAATTATTAATGTAGGATTATTATTTATCCAATGATTCGCGCGCGCGCGAAGGAAGTAAAACAAATTGTCATAAAAAGTCGCATTTAACGTTGAATTTACGATCGAAGACGCATATCTAGTTTGAGCCAAAGCAATTGCAACAATACGAGATAATTCAATAACCATTGTCACTTTAAAAATAATCATTATTTTTTATTTTATGAGAAAAAAGAAATTGCTCGAAATAAAGTTACGTCATTTCAAAAGGGAATACATCTCTGACAACGAAAAGAATTATTCTTTTTCCAGGACATTAATATTTTTTTGTACACCATTTAGAATTATAAAAAAAGTATCGAAGTACAGTGTCGAAAAATGATTAATTCGTACAAGTATTCAGATAAATGTTTGATGATTCGCGCAACTTATTACTCCTGTAACGAGTAATATCTTTTTTGAAAATTAAAAATTGAAAATTGGATCAATAGTGTTTCGAATGGCACCAGGAGAAAAAATCTATTTGTGAAAATAATTCTTTACATCGTCAGACGCGTATACACCTTGAAATAATGTACATTTTATTCTAACGATAATATTTTTTTTTTCCATAAAAAGCCGAAAATGATGTATAAATATTTAAAGTAATAATAGTTATTAAACCATCCTGTATATGTATGTATGTTCCTTACAGGTTCATCATCATCATCATCATCGTGTATTTTTCTGTCTCTGTGTCTGTATATATATTTTTCTTTTTTCATAAGCTTGTAATGATTTAAAAAATGGATATGCTAGCAATACTCGGTCCGTAATTATTGTACAGCCATTAGACGTGAGTAAAAAGACGTACAATTTCGTCCGTCCCGATCACACGTTTCTCTTACAACTCTTTTTGAGGTTTGTTCCTCGATCGTTTTGCTTTTTTTTTTTTTTTTTTTTTTTTTTTTTTTTTTTTTTTTTCCGTCTTCTGCTTGAAAAAAAAACGTTTTTTTTTTTTTTTTTTTTTTTTTTTCTTTTTATTTAATTTTATTAGCTCGATACGTAACGCTACTAACTACTTAATTACTAATAACCTTTATACGTGTATATGCACCTAGCCTAAAATATCATTAATTAGTAGTAATGTTGAATTTGATAATATCATCGCACGTAAATGCAAGGAAATCCTACTTTTAGCGGTCTTATCTTCGGTTCATGTTGATTTTTTATTGCCTTTTTCACTGTTTTTTTTTTTGTTTTTGTTTTGTTGTCTTTTCTATATGTATGGACTGCTTAAGATTAAAAGTTTTTTTCTTTCTTGCTTTTTTTTTTTTGTTCTTTTTTTTTTTTTTACTCTTTATCTTTTTCTTTAAATTACACCGTGCAGTAATGCACACACTGCGTCCGAAGTTTTTTCATTGTTCATTTGTGAGTTAAAAAACTCTGATGAGTGCTATTTCTAAAATACCATACTGCATTTATGCCGTTACATTTCGAAGAGGGTTTTCATTTTCTCAACGTACGAACACGTTCATTTTTTTCTTAGTTTGATTACTATATAAGAAAGATTTGTTTCATTAAGATGTGTTAAGAGTTTGAAGTAGTCAAAAGAATCTGTCTGCTCCTTTCTTCCAACCTATTTACATATTTAATATGTAATTATGCATTAGATAACATTTTTCAAAGAACAAAATAATAGTGTTGTTTATACACACGCGTGACAAATGTGTTTTCTTATTTCTTTTCTTTTTCTTTCTCTTTCTTATCAAGGAAATTGTGTGTAGAGTAATAATACGCGGATATTAAAAATGGTTAGAATATTTTCTTTATAATTATTATGTGCGAATCAATTTTCTTTTTTTTTTTTTTCCAAAAATGATGATCGTCGTATTTTATATTGTATGAGAAATAAAAGAAGAAGAAGAAAAAAGACGAGAAGAAAAAAATAGAATACAAGCAAAAAATACTTCCAATTCGAGATATTTTAAAATAAAACTTATGTCGATTATTATTCTGTGTGCAGCACCGTTTAAATATATTAACGTTATTAATTTTATTTCACCTTCGACAAGCTCGTATTTTTAAACGTAATCATTTTAACGAAGGAACGAGCATGCTGTCGTTGCGAAAAAAAAAACGAGATTATCATACATTTACTTTTACTAATTGAAAGTATACGATAGGGGTATAGTCGAAGTATACAAGTATATACATATTATGTACATGAAATTTTCGAGAGATTTTCTTTTCTTTTCTTTTCTTTTCTATTCTATTCTTTTACCCCGGTTATTCTTCTTTTTAAATATTTTTCTTATTTTCGTATGGTTTTTTTCGATTAAGTTAAAAAGTTCGATGAAGGAATTTAATTAAATGAGACAAGGCGCACGCCTTTTATTTTCCGTTACCGCGGGATTATTCGATCGAAAATAGACCATTGTATTTATTTCGAAGAAATATCGGCTTCTAAGAAACGTTACAAATAAATATATATATATATATATATGTGCTAAAAGCGAGAATCATTTTTCTCTTTCTTTTTTTCTTTTTCTTTTTTTTATTATTATTAATTTTCGCACGACACGCGCCGCTTTAATTAACGCTTTCAGGTTACGTTACGTTACGTAGCGTTTTTTAATTATTCCTATTACTTTTTTCGAGAATATACAAAGTTTTATATATTTATATTATATTTTAATATTTTCGATTATTTTTTTTCCCTTTAAAAAGTGTATATTTTATTTCGTTAAAACATTAAAGTATCTTTTAAGCAAACAATTAATATAACGCGTTTAAATTTGAAATATTTACCGCGGTCCTCATTACTATGGCGCCATCTCTCGAACGCGGGTAAAATTAATTTTTGTGAATGAGAAAAATAAAACAGCTGTAATCGTAAAAAAGAAAAAAGCGGCGCGCGCATACGTGCATAAATTTCAATCGCGATTCTCGACAATAATTATCAATGAGTTTCGCTTGTGTTTTCGATAAGAAGAAAAAAACGATCGTAATTTTTATTGTGCTAGTTCGTTAATGTTGCTTTTTTCGTTGCACGGTAGATCGTAATTTTCCGATCGCAATAATAATAATAATAATAACAATAATAATAATAATAATCGATATATTTATTTTGCGAATATACGCGAATAAATGTGTGTGTATTCAGGAACGATTGTAAAATCTTTCGAAGGAATTATATTTTCTCTCGTATATGTTAGAATCGATATAGTGTGTGTGTGTGTGTGTGTGTTATAATCGTTAAATACAACGTTAGAATCGACGAAGTTCCAAGATAACGATGATATATTATAGAAAAAAAGTTAATACATATTATGTTATGCAAAAAAATCCTGCCGAAATAAATCATACAAAATTTAAGAATCACTCATGAGGTATTTACCATTATGCGTTTATTTTGAAAACGATGAACGATCGAGAGGGAGAGAAAGGGGGAGACGATTGACAGGTGAGAATTGTGGTAAAAGAAAAACACAAAAAAAAAAAAAGAAATGAGGGAGGTTGATGAATAGGGGGTGGAGAGGGATAGGGAAAGACAGAGTTCTCCTCTCGCGCGTAAATATTAATAAAGAAGTATATTAACTTTTTTTTTTTTTTTTATGTTTCCTTCTTCTTGTTATCGCGGATTTATATCGAATATTTTTTCTCCTTCTTCCTCCACCTCCCTTTACCCTTCTCAAACATATAACGCGTCTTAGGCACAAATCACTTATTTCGCGGAAACTGAATTCTCGTTTTTTAATTCATTTTCTTCGATGATTCCCACGCATTGCTGTCATTGGTGGTGACGATGTTGATGTTGATGTTGATGGTGGGTGGTGGTGGATGGTTGGGGCTGGTACCTTTCGATTCGCGGATAATTTACGAGAAAAAAAAAAAAGAAAAAGAAAGAAAAGAAAAGAAAAATGATTTTTTTTTGTCATTACATAATCGTCGTCCATCTTCTCGGTTATCATTTAAAATTCATTTCTTTCTTTCTTTCTTTCTTTTTTTTTTCTTTTTCTTTTTTTCCCCCTCTCGTTAAGGAGATTTCGCGTCTCGTATAATAATTTATAATAATCCTTTAACCGCGTACGTAATTCCATCCGAGATTGTTAGCATTGAAAGCACGAAACAACAAACTGTTCCTCAAATAGACAGCACAAGCTTTGCTACTTTCCGTTATCATCTCGTAAAGTTGACTCTCCAGGTTGTAATTGTTCGTAGTTAATAGCAACGGTAATGGAATAGGATTGTTCATTATCACCAGATTACCAATATTAAGAGGAGTTGTTCCCCATTGTCAGACACCGCTGCTCGGAAAGCGTGGCGGGGGAAGCGGGGGCGGTGGCCTCTCCGGTTGAGCGGGAGCGACGGAAGATCGCTCGGATCCAGCTGCAAACACAACTGCACAATCATATTAATCAGATGGTCTACTGTCTTTTTTTTTAAATTCCTTTTTCTATTTTTTTTTTTTTCTTCTATTTTTCTTTTTTTTTCTTTTTTTTCAAATACTCGATTTATTATTATTATTATTATTATTATTATTAATTTCTTCTCGAGAAATATCACTTTGTTTAAAATGTTATATTTAGATTGCAGCAAGTTGCAAGCATCTAAACAGGAATCGAATACACAACGTATAAAGCCAGGTATTCTCTATTCATTGTGTTCTCTGTATATTTTTTTTTTTTTTTTTTTTAAAATATTTATATATGTGCTTGGATATATCATTAGTTATAATCAACATCTCTTTTATATTATCCATACGACGATGATGAACTTATTATCCAGCACAATATTATTTCTTTAATTTGTTTGTTTGTTTGTTTGTTTGTTTGCTGATTATGTCAATCGATTTTTCCTTCGTTTACACATATACCATACAATCCATATAAGCATAATATAAACAATATTCTTCTTAAATATTTATTTCTACTTTTTTTTTTCTTATGATATTATATTCATGCAATTTTTAAGCACATTTTAATTTACAAATTATAAAAGAGGAAATTATATATATATATTGATGTTTTATAAATTATATTATTCCATTAGTGTAATTTCGAGATAGTAGTAATAGTAGTAGTAGTTAAGCTTTTCGTTTCTCTCCAGATGAATACTATCATTTAGCCAAAAGTTAGAAGAAGAAGAAGAAGTTTGAGTTTTGTTTTTTTTTTTTTTTTTTTTTTTTTTTCAAGTGTAGTTAGACAAATGACATTAAAGAGACACGCGCGCACACGCACACATATGCATCATTCAATATCATTATCAATTCTATAATTAATGTGTCTACGAATGTGTGAATTGTAGCACATAAAGCATAGAATTTTTATATGTATATATATATATATGAATTTCTTTGTAAAATATTCTTTTTATATGATTATATTCAATCTCAATAAAATTATTATGCTATCTGAGGTTATTGTTATTAAAAATAAATAAGATATTATTTTATTTCAATCTATTATATATGGAATCGTAGAAAACAAAATTAATGTAATGTATCGTTATAAATTGATAAAATTTGTTAAATTTAATTTTGATTAGATTTTTTTTTCTTTTTTTTGATTATCTCAATAACCTCAGGTTTTCATAATTAAAATTTATGATTCTAGCAAGACATTAAATTATACAGAATCGTGCAGAGAAGTCAGCTTAAAAACACTTATACGAAAGAAAAAATATTGAAATGCATTACGAAGCAATACCTATTATATATTTCACTGTTGGTTCAATTGTTTATATTGTTATTGGACATACGTTATTACATTATCAAAAATATCAAGCTTTATAAATTGATAAAAAGATTGATTAATGGATTTTTAAATTATCGAACTATTCAACAAAATTTCATTGAAATAATTCAAAGTATTATTTATAATAATCCAATTTGTTAGCAATATTTGAATAATTCGAAACATATATATTATAAATGTAACATTCGAAACAAAAAATATATTTACTTGATAATTCGAATGAAGTTAAATAATTAATAGATAAATGTATCTTCCAGTTGTATTTTTTTTTCTTTTTTCTTTTGGAACATTAAATATATTATTTCATCTTTATAATAGCGATAAAATGATTTATAATTAGTTGTCAAAAACATTTAGAGATACGAAATTCAAAATATCTAATTTTTCATTATAATACACGTATATATTTGATACAGAAGAATATTTAGCAATTATTTAATAATGTACATCGTATTGTTCATTATTCCTTGCTAATTAATTTCTATTGCCAATGTGAAAGGTGGGTTGTATATGAGACTTCGTGTTCTCTGCCATAATAAACAGTACACACATCTTGTAGCAGCGAAGCAGTAATAATATATTATATTTTTCATATAATCAGGATATTTTTCTTCTTTACATTTGTATCATACTGAAAGCAGAAAAATAATGTTTGGCAAATAAATTCCAAAAAAAAAAGAAAAAAAGAAAAAAAAAAAAAACAGAAAAGAAAAGAAAAATAAAAAGAAAAATAAAAAGAAAACGAAACGTTTTAGCAGCAATAATATAGCGGCAAATAAAGAAAATAATTTTTGTTTTTTTTTCCTTTTTTTTTTGTTTTACAAAGATATAAAAGTACAGATGATGATACAATAAAACATGCATAATGATAATAATTAGACAATGTGATATACAAGTGAACAAACAATTCTTATTAATTGCTTTTCATTTTTATATTCCTATAAATATTAATAATAATTTATAACGAAGAATAGAAAAAAAAATAAAAACCATGTATTCAACATTTGTGTTAGATTGAATGATGAAACAATTAAAAAAGAATTGTTCGTCTTGTTAATAGAGAGAAAAGAGAGATACATAAAAAAAACAAAAACTAGAAAAATAGGAAAATGATTGCGATGATCATGTTTGCAGGGTTATTTATGCTTTCGAAGGTTTTTAAGCCTTACATGAATCTGGATGTGGCTTCTCTTCGGCCACCATCAGGGCTGCACTCTCTGCTGGCGGTATGTGTCCCTCTAATGCATTCACACAGTTTAGCATGCTCCTGTAAAACATCACGCGACTTGTCCAAGTTTTCACGTCTTCACAAATTATTATTGATTTCTTTTTTCAGTACTTTTTTCTTTGTGTGTGTTTTTTTTTTTTCTTTTTTCTTTTTTGTTCTCTCTATATATTCCAGATCTTCCTTGAAGGCATCGGATTCAACATGCACTTGATGCTGATTAGATCAAATCTTTCTAATATCCTCCAATTTTAATTTGTCATTATGAATCTTTTATTTGTAATTATTTTAAAAATATAGTTGTGTTCTGATTTATATATATAGATATACATATATATGTATATGTATATATAATTCTGTTGGCAAAATGATATGTGTTCATATAATTTATATTTAATAATTCTTTACATAGTTTTAAATTGAGTAATGAATAATAATGAATAGGAATGAATATAATGTAT